ATTGCCAAATGCTTTCAGAGTCAAATCCAAAAAACCATTGCCAACGTCATGTAGCTTTAACCTATGCATTTTTTTTTTTTGTAAGAACTTTATGGTTTTAGGTCTTCTGTTTAAGTCATTAATCAGCTTTGAGTTGATGTTTTTGGTATGGTATGTGTCCAGTTTTATTATGTTGCATGTGGATACCAAATTTTTCCAAAAACATTATTGAAGAGACTAACCTTTCCTCATTGTATATTCCTTGTGACTTTGTCAAAGATTAGTTGGCCATACATACGTGGATTTATTTCTGGTCTGTTCCATAGGCCTAATGTGCCTGTTTTTTTTGCCAGTACCATAATGTTTTGATTACTATAGCTTTGTGGTATATTTGAAATCCAGAAATGTGATGCTTCTAGCTTTGTTCTTTCTCAAGATAGCTTTGGCTATTTAGAGATTTTTATGGTTCCGTGTGAATTTTAGGATTGTTTTCTCTATTTCTATGAAAAAAGCCATTGGGGGCACCTGGGTGGCTCAGTGGGTTAAGCCTCTGCCTTCGGCTCAGGTCATGATCTCAGGGTCCTGGGATCGAGCCACGCATCGGGCTCTCTGCTCAGCAGTAAGCATGCTTCCCCCTATCTCTGCCTGCCTTTCTGCCTACTTGATCTCTCTCTCTCTCTCTCTGTCAAATAAATAAATAAAATATTTTTTAAAAATTTAAAAAAATAAAAATTAAAAAAAAAAAAAGCCATTGGAACCCTCAGTTCGTTCCTTATAATTAAATGTCTCTTATGGTTTGTCTCCCTCTCTCTTTTTATCTTATTTTATTTTTCCTTCCTTCCTCTATGTTCATCTGCTTTGTTTCTTAAATTCCACATATGAGTGAAATCATATGGTATTTGTCTTTCTTTGATGGACTTATTTGCTGGAGGGGAAGTGGGTGGTAGGATGGGATAATTGGGTGATGGGCATTAAGGAGAGCACTTGATGTAATGAGCACTGGGTGTTATATGCAACTGATGAATCACTAAATTCTACCCCTGAAACTACACCATATACTAACAACATTGAATTAAAAAAAAAAAAATTTAAAGAAAATCCATAAAACTAAAAAAAAAATCCATTGGAATTTTAATAAGGATTTCATTGAATCTGTAGATTGCTTTGGGTCGTATGGACACTTTAACAATGTTAATTCTTCCAATTCATGAACGTGGGATATTTATTTTCTATTTACTTGTGTCATCTTCAACTTCTTTCACCAGTGTTTTATAGTTTTCAGGATACAGGTGTTTCACCTCCTTGGATAGATTTATTCCTAATTATTTTATTCTTTCTGATGACTTTGTAAGTGGGATATATTTATTAATTGATTTTGTGGGTAGTTATTCCCTCCAAGGGCATGTATACATGTGTCTTCTGCTGAATTTCTGCATGGAGAGGACTGCTTCTGAACTGTGGCCAAGAGGGGCTGGAGCAAGGTCCATGGGATTATTATTTTTTTTTTAATATTTTATTTATTTATTTAACAGACCGAGATCACAAGTAGACAGAGAGGCAGGCAGAGAGAGAGGAGGGAAGCAGGCTCCCCGCTGAGCAGAGAGCCCAATGTGGGGCTCGATCCCAGGACCCTGGGATCATGACCCGAGCCGAAGGCAGAGGCCTAACCCACTGAGCCACCCAGGCGCCCCGGTCCATGGGATTATTACTAGAGACACAGGCAGGTCGTTTGACATGGTGCTGGCGACAGGAATCAAGGCCAGATGGGGTTCTAGCTGAGTCCACAGGAGGACAAGGATATTTCTGTGTCTGCAGCCAGGATCATTGTTGGTGAGTCTGCTATCTGGTTGTTGGCCTGCCTTCTCAAAATGGTCCTACCTCAGACTTGGGCTCTAAAGACTCTTAAGATAAGGTGGTCAGGAAGGCTCTTTCCAAATGGGTAACATCTGTGCTTGGGACAGAAGGATCCAGCATTCAGATAACCAGAAAAAATAATTACGATTCAAATGGGACTACCCAGGTGGTCCCACCATGAGACCTTCCATGAAGTAGGAATAAGCTTATGGATCTTTTGCTCTCCCCAGATACCAAAATATCTTGCCTTATAACTAGGCTGTGTTCCCTGGATACAAACTGTCAATAGATAAAAGTTTTTGGCTTAAGAGCAAGCTAAAGTTCAGAAACACTTGGTTGGCTATGTTTGATAACCCAGATGTTGATATGCACACAAATTATTTGATTGTTTTAGTTGAAGAAGAAGAAGAAAGAAGGGGTTCAATACCTGGTCAAGGAATTATGAGTATAGCAATAACCTTAATATTGATTCTATTGACCAGCCTGTAAAAACCCAAATGATAACCCTAAACAGACAGAATCTGAGGGCAGAGCCTCCTCCCAGGTGAGAATGTGTTACCTAAAAAGGAGAAAAAGGCTTTGTTTCCACATTTGGGCTCCCCATCATGCTTCATCCCAAAAAGGTAATCATAATCCTGACTTTTATTAACTCCCGGCCAAAAAGGAAACCATGATCCTGAACTTCTCACCTTCTTTTGCTTTTTAAAAATTTTTATAGGACTGAAATCATTCAGAAAATACTCCTTTGTATCTGGCTTATTTTGCTCAATAGAAAGTTTGTAGATTCATTCATGTTGTTACATATTGCAATAGTTTATTATTCTCATTGCTGTATAGCATTCCATTATATAACATTCTGGAAGTGTTTTATCCATCCTAATTTTTATGGACATTAGGTTGTTTCCACTATTTGACTAGTAGAAATTATACTACTAGAAACATCTTTGGAACATATTTTACAGTGAAATACATACATATTGTTTATTGTTGAGGATGTATCTACTAACAGTAGATCACAGGCATATAATTGGTCATCTTTAGTAGATATTGTCAGTTCTCCAATTTGGCTGAACCAGTTATACTCCCACCACAATGGGAGTTCTAGTTGCTACACATCTCTGCTAACACTTGTTATTGTATACCTTTTCAATTTAACCACCTGGTAACTGTACTGGGGTATCACATTATGGCTATAATTTGCATTTTCCTGATGTAGAAATTAACTTGAACACATTTTCATGTATTTATTAACCACTTGGTTACTCTCTTATGTGAAATATCTGTTCAAGCCTTTTCTCCTGGGTTGTCTCTCTTTTCCTATTGATTTGTAGGTGTCCTTTTTATATTCTAGGTATGAGTTCTTTGTCAGATTATAGGCATACATATTATAATATTTTCTTCAATCCTCTGACATGCCTTTTCTTTCTTTCAATGGTATCGTTTGGTAGGTTTGGTTTTGTTTTTCCTTTTAGGTCAGCACTTAGAAAGAAAAAACACAGCTAATGTCTGGTATCTGCACTAGTTGCTACCAGTCGGGCCATGTTGTTTCCTTGCTGAACATAAACAAGTTCATAGAGTCTTAAAGTCAGGAAGAGACTCTCTGTGACCAAGATGGAATAAAATATCTTGTATTGGGGCACCTGGGTGGCTCAGTCCTTAATTGGCTGCCTTCAGCTCAGGTCATGATCCCGGGGTCCGAGGATATAGCCCCACATCCGGCTCCCTGCTCAGTAGGAAACCTGCTACTCCCTCTTCCACTCCCTCTGCCTGTGTTCCCTCTTTTGCTGTGTCTCTCTGTATCAAAGAAATAAGTAATATCTTTTTTAAAAAGTCTTGTATCCTCATAGTTAAGCATCTTTCTTGTAAGCAGCATGTAGTTGAGCTTTATTTCTTATCCAGCTTAGAAATAATAGTTTTTAATTGGAGTGTTTAGTGGATTTGCATTTAAATTTATTTACTCCAAAAAAGACATGCAAATAACCAACAGACACATGAAAAAATGCTCCACGTCACTTGTCATCAGGGAAATACAAATCAAAACCACAATAAGATACCACATCACACCAGTCAGAATGGCTAAAATTAACAAGACAGGGAACCAAAAGTTGATGGGGATAAGGGAACTCTCTTACACTGTTGATGGGAATGCAGGCTGGTACAGCCACTCTGGAAAACAGTATGGAGATTCCTCAAGAAGTTGAAAATAGAGCTACCCTATGGCCCAGCAATTGCACTACTGGGTATTTACCCCAAAGATATAGCTGTAGTGAAAAGAAGGGGCACTTGCACCCCAATGTTCATAGCAGCAATGTCCACAATAACCAAACTGTGGAAGGAGCAAAGATGTCCTTCAACAGACAAATGGATAAAGAAGATGTGGTTCATATATACAATGGAATATTATTCAGCCATCAGAAGGGATGAATACCTACCATTTACATTGACATGGATGGAGCTAGAGAGTATTATGCTAAGTGAAAGAGTAAAGCAGAAAAAGACAATTATCATATGGTTTCACTCATATGTGGAACATAGGAGACAGCCCAGAGGATCATAGGGGAAGGGAGGGAAAATGAAATGGGAAGAAATCAGAGAGGGAGACAAACCATGAAAAATTCTTGACTCCAAACAGAGGGGTGTGAAAAGGGAGGTAGCTAGGGAGACAGGGTAACTTGATGATGGGCGTTAAGGAGGGCACGTGATGTGATGAGCACTGGGTGTCAGCGCAACTAATGAATCATTGAACATTACATCAAAAACTAATGTTGTGCCATATGTTGGCTAATTGAATTTATTTTTTTTAAAGATTTTATTTATTTATTTGACAGACGGAGATCACAAGTAGGCAGAGAGGCAGGCAGAGAGATGGGGGGAAGCAGGCTCCCCACTGAGCAGAGAGCCTGATGCAGGGCTCAATCCCAGGACCCTAGGATCATGACCTGAGCTGAAGGCAGAGGCCTTAACCCACTGACCCACCCAGGTGCCCTGGCTAATTGAATTTAAATTTTAAAAAGATATGAAAATAATAATAGGTAACAATAAAGTATTAATGTACCTGTTTAATTTCATATGCTTAATTATAAACACCAGTGACAATTCAATCATCTCATATAAAAATAACATCTGATGACTGAATACTGAATTGATCAACTTCTGTTTAAATGCAGGATTTAGAAAGACATAAACATATTCTTTCTGATATCTGCATTGGATGTGAGACTTCCAGAAGAGCTGAATGAGAAGCTCAGCAAATCCTCTCCTAACAATGAATTATAAGGCCCTTCAATATGGAAGTGGAAGGCAGAAAAAGGAGATAGAATGATATAAGAGCCAGTGTTGGTGGTTTTGAGGACGGAAGAAAGGACCCAGAAGCTGAGGAATGTAGGAAGCCTCTAGAAGCTGGAAAGGGCAAGGAAACAGGTATCCCCTTCAGTAAAGAATGCAGCCCTGCCATCACTTTGATTTCAGCCCTACAATACTCATTTGGATCCAAAGATACAGAACTGTAAAATAATAAATTCTGCTGCATTAAGTCACTAAGTTTGTTGTAATTTATTGCAGCACTGATGGAAAACGAATACAGTAGGTAAGATATTGGACTTAGCAAAGAAAGACTTCAGTGCAATTCAAATAAATATATTCAAGAACTTAAAGAAACCACTTAAAGAATTAACATAAAATATAATGACAACAAAATAAATATATGATACTAGCTTATCAAATCGTGAATATAGATAAAATGATAGAAAATTTTTAAAAAGAACTAAATAGAAATTCAAAAAGAAATTCTGGACTGGAAACATAAAATAACTGAAATTAAATATACATTACAGGGGTTTAACAGAAGATTTAATCTGGAAGATGAAATAATCAGTGAACTTTAAGGTAGTTCAATAGAGATTATTCAGTCTGAAAAGCAGAGAGAAAAAAAGAATGAGAAAAATGAATAGCACCTTGAAGATCTGTGGGATACTATGAATATTATCAATACATGTGTAATGGGAGCTTCAGAAGGAGACAGGAGAGAGAAAGACAAAAAATATTTGAAGAATTAATGGTAACAAACTTCTTAAATTTATTAAAACAATGAGAACAACATCAACGTACATATTAAACAAGTTTAGTAAACTCCAAGTAGGATAAATTCACACCTAAACAAATCATTATCATCATGATTAAATTTTTGAAAGGAAAAAACAAAGAGAAAATCTTGAAAGCAGGAAAAGAAAAACCAGGATACAGAATCAATATATAAAATTCAGTTGTGTTTCTATACACTAAAAATGAGCTAAGGAAGGAATGAAGAAAAACTGATCCTTGTCCTGAGTGCTGAGACTAGACAATGAGGAAAGAACAGTCGCTTCAATAAATTATATTAGAATAACTGGATATCTATTTGCAAAAGAATTAGGTTGGACTCCTTTCTTAGACTAGACACAAAAATTAAAATAGTCTAGACATTTAAAAGCAAGGCTTCAAACTGTAAAACTCTGAAAGAAAACATAGTGGAAAACTTCATGGCATTAGTCTTAACCATTATTTCTTGGATTTGACACCCAAACCACAGGCAACAGAAGCAAAAATAAAATGGAACCACATCATGGTATGTCATGGAAGATTTTAGAAGCCTGGCCTTGGAGTCACTTCTCCCCACATTCCACAGCTCAGAATTAGACTTATTGTTCCACCTAAGTGTGAGAGACTGGGATACTACCTTCTAGGTACCAATAAGAACAGATGGGACTGTTGAAGAACAGTGTGTGCCATGGGCATGACCTCATCTGCTGCCATTCTATCATGTCACTCTGACCCTGATCAAGATCTCTGAAGACTCCAACCACATCTCATAATCAGTTACCTATAACTCAGGGTAAGAATATTCATCTAAAGGGAAGTGCAAGGAAGTACAACAAAATCCCAATAATACCCATCATGAATTTTTATACCTTTTTTAAATGTCAAAAGATTACATATTTCCTCTAAAAATAATTGGGTTTTTTTCCCATTTTTTTCATTCTTGATGTCTCTGCTCATGCTCTAAGTGCAGATTTATAATGCCTATTGGGTATTCCAGCACTGTTGTTTCCATTTGTTCTTTTTCTCTATCCACAAATATTAGTGGGGCACCTAATAGAATAACTAATAGCTAGGATTAGCATATTCCTGTCCCTCAATGGAAATGTGTAGATAGGATCAAAATCTCCAATGCTGATTTTCCAACAGGCAGTTGCAAGGTCAATGTATCAGTTAACGTCTCCTGAATAAAAAAGCACCGTAAAACTTGGAGGCTTGAATAGATCATTCTATTTCACTCATAATTCTGTGCATTGACTTGGCAGTTCTTCTGGTCTGGACAAGCTTGACTGATCTCTGTTGGGCTGTACATAAGTTTGTGCTCAGCTGGTTGTTGAGTTGTTTGATGATCTAGGATAGCATTACTCATATATCTGACATTTGATTGGATGTCATTTAGGGCACCTTAGTTCTCCTCTACATAGCTTTTCAACTTCCAGCAAGTTGGTTTGAGCTCATCAATTGAGCAATCTCTCAGGATCACAAGTGCAACAATAGGTTGAGACCAAAGCATGAGAATTTTTCAAGCCTATGTTTGCAGTATTTTTGCTAACATCCATTGGCCTAAATAAATCACATGGCCAAGCCCACAGTCGAGTGGTGGCAAAAAGGCTCTACCTCTTAATGAGAGACTCTGCAACACTCCATTGCAAGGGAATCAGTGCAGAGTGGGGAAGAATTGTAGCCTTTTTCCATCTTCAGTAGTGGCAAAATTTCCTTTAGGGATCTTCTTCATGTTAATAAATACATTATTATTATTATTATTATTATTATTAACTCACTTTGGGGCCTGAATTTCTGAGCAATAAATAAATCTTTGATATTGAGATTTCAGGGTTTGTTACCTTTGCAGAGCCTAGCTTAACCGAAAAGATATAGGACAAAGCCTCCCTCTCCTGAACCGATATGTGGCTAACTTGCATACTGAGAAGTTTCAGGGAAAAAAAAATCGTGCCTTTAGAGAATAGGGCCATAACAATTGGAAGTCGGCATGGTGTGAGTACCTTTGCAGCGAATTCTGGCCATAACCCTAAGTCTCTTAGGTCTTTTTTAAAATAATCATTTTAATTGAAGTATAACTTGTCTATAGAAGAGTGCAAAAGTCATAAGTATATGGTCTGATGAATTATCCAAAATGAACAAGCCCATGTAACCATTACCTTGGCCAAGAAATAGAACTTTACCCCCTTGCTTTCCCACCAACAGTGTAAGGGGGTTCCCCTTTGTCCACAACTTCGCCAACACTTGTTTCCTGTCTTGTTAATTTTGGCCATTCTAACTGGTGTAAGGTGGTATCTCATTGTGGTTTTGATTTGTATTTCCCTGATGGCTAGTGGAGTTTCCTCAAGACATTGAAAATAGAACTACCCTATGACTCAGCAATTGCACTACTTGGTATTTTACCCCAAAGATACAGATGTAGTAAAAAGAAGGGGCACATGCACCCCAATGTTCATAGCAGCAATGTCTGCAATAGCCAAACTGTGGAAGGAGCCATGATGCCCTTCAACAGACAAATGGATGAAGATGTAATGCATATATATATTGGAATATTACTCAGCCATCAGAAAGGATGAATACCCACCATTTGCATTGATATAGATGGAACTGGAGGGGATTATGCTAAATGAAATAAGTCAAGCAGAGAAGGACTATTATCATATGGTGTCACTCATATGTGTAACATAAGGAATAAAATGGAGGACCACAAGGGAAGGGAGGGGAAACTGAATCAGAGAGGGAGACAAACCATGAGAGACTCTGGACTCCAAAAAACAAACTGAGGGTTGCAGAAGGGAGTGGGGGTCAGGGGATGGGGTAAACAGGTGATGGGTATTAAGGAGGGCACATGTTGAGATGAGCACTGGGTGTTATACGCAACTAATGAATCATTGAACACTAAAAACTTATGTTGTACTATATGCTGGCTAACTGAACATAATAAAAAAATAGAGCTTTATCAGTATTATGGAAGTTCATTTTATTTTCCCTTGCAAAAGTTATCAATATCCTGGTTTCTAATGTCATAAAAATTTTTCTTATTTTTTTTTTTTAAAGATTTTATTTATTTATTTGCCAGAGAGAGAGAGGGAGAGTGAGCACAGGCAGACAGAATGGCAGGCAGAGGCAGAGGGAGAAGCAGGCTCCCCGCCGAGCAAGGAGCCCGATGCGGGACTCGATCCCAGGACGCTGGGATCATGACCTGAGCCGAAGGCAGCTGCTTAACCAACTGAGCCACCCAGGTGTCCCAAAAATTTTTCTTATTTTTAAAGGGAATCATGGCTTTCTTCATTCATCATTGTGTTCTTGAGATTAATCTTTGTTGTTGTGTGGAGAAATAGTCTTATTTTCTTTGCAATACAGCAATACAATACAATATACTGTATTGCAAAGAAAATAAGACTATTTCTCTTGTTGACATGCTTTAGAGTTAAAATAAGACTATTTCTCTTGTTGACATGCTTTAGAGTTAAGATAATCCTTCTATGAACATTCTTGTATGTCTTTTGGTGAAAATATGTATTCATTTCTGTTATGTATATGCTAAAAATAGATATAGTAAAGCATATGGAATTCGTATCTTCAATTTTTCATTTATATTCCTACCAGTAGTATAAGAGGGTCCTAGTCTCTCCATATTCTCACCAACATATGGAATTATCTTGTGTTCAGCCACTTGGGCAAATGGGTTTCTTTGGCTTTTCCTTGATAGCTAATGTATATTGACACCCTGTCCTATGTTTAGTAGCCATTTAGATACTCAATTTTGTGAAGTGTCTGCTCATGTCTTTTTCACTCTGTGTGGTAAACAAGCAAAGTAAAATATAATCTCCTTTCCTTTGAACTGTCTGAATCTACTAAACAATCTCAGAATTTTAGTTGCTTTTTTGACTGGAGCCTTTTGTGAAATTCTGTGGCTTCTACCTAGCTTCCCTCTTCCGATCATGAATCTTCATAGAATAAAACACAGACACGGGAGACTGAAATGCAATTTTATAGTGAAAATATTTGACAGGAGGGTTTCCAGAAGGGGAGATTGTTGAGGGCCTTCAGTAATAAGGCATACTTGTGGTGATTGTTTTCGACCACAAAACTTCGTCCTCTACTACATGAGTAATGTTGGTTGATTCGGTGATAACGCAGCACTTTCCTTTTTTTGGACAGGGGTGAACTTCA